AATAAGTCTATTTTCTCTCTTTTTAAGTTCCACCACCTAGTTTTTGGACACCCTTAATGTCACTCCTCTTACATCTCTTCATGCAAGCATCCATATACAGGGTTTTAAAAAATTGCAGATTTAGATCGGAATCGCCCGATTCGGATCGAAAATCATTAAGGGTGAACTGGTTCCTGTAATGTATTGGGAACTGGTCGTTTTCCCTTAGGAGTCGACGATTCAATATAGTGACGATTCACTATATTGAATCACCAACAGTGTTCGCAAAACCGGCCTGTCCGAACCCAAACCGGCTGGTTAGATCGGTACCGACTCCGGTTAAGGCTGGTTTTGTGGTCCTAATAAATAGAAGCCATTCTCCAAAATAAACCGACACCAAAACTGGCCGGTTCGTGGTCGAACCTGCGGTATTTACTCTAAACCGGCCGGTTTTTCCTAACCAATCCGATTTATTGTTTGAACACCCGATATAACGTCGTTTTCAACGCATCCAACAATGGCCGTTATTTGACACATGCCCATTATTTTTCACAGAACCCATGAATAAAGCTTTTGCAGCTTTTTTTTATTCCAATTTTTGGTTTTGTTGTTTTTTTCGATCAAATATTGATGTTATACACCGGAAAGTTTCTATAAATCATCGATTATTGAATCAAAAGTCGAAAAACAAAGGTTCTTGGAGGATTGAAATGGTGATTTTTGAAAATTAGAAATTTCTGCCATTCTATCAAATGCATCTTCAATACCTTATATATTTTCATAAAAATGGAGGGCTTTGATTCATTGTTGAAGGATTCAACGTTTACATATTGCAGAATTGTTAAATGAAGATTTCAGTATTACGAAGAACCTTTGACATAAATATGGCTAGAGATCATAGATACTTTCGTAGGATTAGGATATCAAAGTGAAAGAAGCTTTGAGAAAGATGAAGATAGGAAAGGCTTTAGGACCAGATGATACACTAATAGGGGTTTGGAAGTTCATGAGGGGATTGGCATATTCTGGTTGACCAAACTGTTCAACAAGATTTTGATAACAAAGTAAATGTTAAATTGTACAATGGTATCTATTACAAGAACAAGTTCTTGTAAGAGGGAACGCTAACAATGACAGTATGCCTATATCAGGGGTCAGCATTGAGCCTATATATCTCTACTTTGGTTATGGACGAGTTAATTAGGAATCTACAGGATGAGGTCTTGGAGTGTATGTTTTTTTGATAGAGGTTGACTTAACATTAAGAAATAAAGTAAGTTACATCGCCAGAGTTGGAGGTCTTGTAGTGTATGTTGTTTCCAGATAACATAGTTTTGATTGATGAGACTAGAGATGGCATAAACGTTATGTTAGAACTTTGGAGGGATGCTTTAGAATTTAAAGGTTTAGAATTGGTCAAACTATGACAATATATACAAAATGCAAGTTTAGTAATAATAGGAGCAGAAACGTAGGAATTAGTTAAGATTGTTGGCCAAGAAAAGAGAGATTGAGGAAGATGACTCATAGAATTAGAGCTTGGTGGACAAAGTGGAGATGTGCTTCTGGAGTCCTATGTGATCATCGCATACCTATAAAACTAAAGGGGAAGTTTTGTAAGACAGTTGTAAGACCGAGACTCTATGGTGCCGAACATGATTTCTGAACTCGGCCGATGTGACTCGGACATGGCTGAGTCACTTGGCCTTGGCCTATGAGTGAGGCCAAGTTCTATGCACTGATTTTCTATATATCCCTTTATTCACTTATCCATTCACGCAATGTTTAAGTGACGTTTTGGCCATTACATACGTCCTTGCAGCCTTTCGATTTTAGTTCGAATCCTCCCAGGCACAATCTTATTCTTTTTTTGAAAAATAGAACTTTTTATTTTATTAAAAAAAAGCACGCACTCACAATGTGTGATGGGTAGGATTCGAGGTCACAACCTCTTGTTGCAGCGCTAAAAAGTTCTACCAGTATGCTGCTTGCGTACTAATAATAAGTAGAGGTATCATTTTAGATATAAACATTATCTACTTTTGTTATTTCGTTTTTTTAAAAACATGAGATGAACTCACCCAAGTTACTCGGACTCGGTTGTGTAACTCACCTCGGCCAGGGTTCGAGTACCTTGGCCGAGTCGATTTTTTGAACACTGTTACAGAATGTTGGGCAGTCAAGAAACAATATATCCACAAAATGAGCGAGTCTAAATGTGGATGTTGAGATGGATGAGTGGAAAGACAAGGACGGATAGAATTCAAAATGAATACATTTGAGAGAACTTAAGGGCAGCTTCAATAGATGGTAAAATGAGGGAAAGTGGGCTTAGGTGGTTTGGTCGTGTGCCACGTCGACCTAGAACACTAGTTAGGAGGGGTGATTTGGTTCAAGTGGAAGGATCTAAAAGGGCAAGGGGAAGTCCCCAAAGAACATATATAGAACTAGTGAGAAAAAATATGGTGACTTATGGTCTAACGAGGGTATGGCCCTTTTGTTTGTTTTCAAAAAATGCAATAGATTGTATCTTCTATCATGTTAATTGTTGTTATTGCGGAGTGATTGTCATTTTGTTGATTTTAGCTTACAAATGTGCTTACATGTCTTCTTGTGAGTCGTGTCAATAGTTCATTATTTATTTCATGATGTTTCTTGGGTATTGTTTGACCAGTTATTGGACCTATGGTATTATGGGCATGTGGTGTGTTATCAGTTTATTTTTATTTCCTAATATTTTTCAAAAAATTTTGTGATTTTTCTTATATTTTTCTTTTTTCCTATTTTTCTCTCTTTTTTCAATTTTTTGCATTTTTTTCTATTTGTTTATTTTCTAAATTCCTTGACTGGTACAACTGGTCTACCGGCCTGGTCCAACTGGACCAGTGCCCTCCCATTTTGTATCATCAATCCAGTCTCCAGAACACTGTACTAAAGCCTTTTTGAGTAACTGAGTTACTTGTGCATGCCCGGATAAGAGTCTAGATGCACACTAGTTATTTCCTAATGGAATCCATGAATTCTGATTGAATAGGTTCGTTCAACATTTCCCACAAGACCTATCGTCATCAGGATATTATGATAGATGGCTGTTGTAGAAAACCTATTGTCAAGAGATAACGAGAGGTGGCTTTTCCCTGAAGATCTATTAAAATTGGAGAATATTATAGGCCAGTTTCAATACTCCAGCATTACAAGCATAAGCATAACCGACACTTGCCCTCAATAATGTGAAGTTTGAATGGATGCATGAAGAAGATATTGGTACATAAATGTAGAATGAATCCTATTCATGTTCATTGAACCTGGAGACCCCTTTTTAAGTAGAGTTTAAAGAGTCAAAATGAGAAGTGTTACAGATAACTTGTGGGTAAGCACATGCATGTTTTGATAAGTCACTCCAAAGGAATTATCGTGAATATTCAAGTGCAAGGTCTGGACATCCATAAAAAGAGAGTAGTCACCCCTGCTTATTTAGAGATTGGGTTGTAACCCAAGGAGTAGCGTATCTATGGGGTTCCTTCTGGATTGTTATTCACTTGCTTTCTTCTTCAAGGTAGAGGGGTAACCTTAAATCCACGAGGATTTACAACTCTCCCTTCCTCAACTCCATAGGATTACAACCTAGATCCCTCTTTGAAATCAAGTTCATGTTAGTATGAATTGTGAGAATGAATTTATTACATCCTTAGTGGCTATTTGAAATTTCATGTAGAGAATTTATGCAGTGATATATCCTGCAGTAATAAGCTTTTTGGGAGGCAAGCAGTAATGAAATTCAGTGATTCCTTTTGTGTTGGATTTGATATCTCAATGAACGAAAAGAGTTGTAATAAAATAATGCTTTTTGTATCAGATCTCTCTGCAATAGACATGTGCCGCTTTTTCACCAGAACTTGTATAGTGTGATTTCTCGACTTCCCTCATATTCTACCCACCCAATCAACAGTCTAGTCTCCATGTGGTTATTGACATCATGATTAAACGGCATTGGAACCTTAAACAAGCAGTTTGCGTTCCAGTCAAAGTCACTACAAGAAAGATACGAAAGTAAGACACGATTTCTCACCATAAGTACTGTGTTCCAGCCAAAGTGACTACAACAAAATGAGAGAGAGAGAGTGAGAGAGAGAGAGAGAGTGAGAGAGAGAGAGATAGAGGTTGGTTGTTTAGTGGGTGGGGGGTGGGGGGTCGGGGGTGGGGGGTGGGGGGGGGGGGCGCTTATCGATATGGAAGGAAGTTGTGGTACTGGAAATTTCCCACATGCTACAAATGTTGGATTTTGGGAAACCATATAGAGGAAGGTTTATTTTCCCAAATTTATTTGTTTAATGAGAAAAGATTCAATATCTTGCTCAAGACTTCCTACCATACGAGGAAAGAATGGCACGGCCATTTGCAAAGAAGAGGCATTTTTGAAGAGAGAGTGTTGAGAGAGCTATGGTTTACGCAGTTTCATTTTGTTGGCCTATCTCCTGTTGAACTATTTATGCCTTCCATTTTGTATTGTGGTTTCCAATCTTTAGGAGTAGCATGGTGGCTGGCAATCCTATCGGTTATTTTGTTGTTGTATTGGCTTTCGATTAATCGAACTGGATGTTATTCTGCTGCCCAGCACTCTACTTGTGATCCAAATGCTTTTATTCAACTTACCTTTTACCAGAAACTTCTTTGATAACATGAATGCTGCAAGTTTACTATTATTAGACTATGAGTTTATATTCTGTGCTCATATTGTGACATCATGTTATTATGAAATATTTAGAAACATGAAACCGATGGTAAGTGCTAAATCTCACCTTTTTGATGTCAAGAATTTCAGCAAGGCTTCTTTTATTAGACATGGATAAGCAGTTCATTTAGAAAGGTTTACATAGAGAGTTGTTTGTAGAATACTAGTTATTCTATGATTTTTATTGAGAAAGGTGGGCGATCTGATTTTTGGATAAGTTACCAGTCAGGTGAATTAAGAAATTTTATCAGTAGTAGATAATCTGATGCTCTCTTCTGTGTACATGTAGGATGCTGTAGCAATGGTGCAGGGTATATCAGATGCAGCGACAGCTGCAAGAAAACTCACGGAAGAAGCATATGCACGAGGCAGTGCTGACAACATTACATGTCTCATAGTTCAATTCAACCATCCATGAGATAACTTAGGAAAAATTCTTTCGGTTGGTGTCCCACCAGACTAGGTCATGCTTGTCTTTTGATGTGATAAATTTTGAGGAAACATTATACCAATAATGGCATTTTTAATTTCAAACTCTGTGCTAGCAGCTCATGAAGCGTCTGACGTCAAACAAGAGGGACTTGAGGTTTGTTCCTCTGTTCACTTTCAGACAGCTCCTCAACCAGCCGATGTTAACAACGGAAGGTTGAGGTGCGTCATTACTCTACAGTGGGTGGTTGAGAAGCTGCTAGCATAACGTGCAAAACCCAAATGCAATCATAGGAGCATCCATTAAAAGAAGTATTATATTTAATACTAACGGTTAGGCTGTAACATAGAGTTGAAGAGTTTGCGACTTCTTAGGCGGAATTTGCAGAGGTATGTGAAATCAGAACAATGGGAGGTGGATCTATCTTCAGTTTTTGGAGCTCATGCCCTTTAGCTTGTTATATTTATTGTCTGGCAGTACCTGGTTCAGAATTGATGGCCATAGGGTGTTAACAGTCTTTTATTTCTTGGTGCAAAACAAAAGCAAAATGTTTCCTTTCTGTAAATATTTGTGTATGGAAAGTAGTGCGTTGAGCTTCAGCAATCATTTCCTTTGCTTGAACACTGACAAGAAAGAGTGCAAAGTGCTACATATGCTGCATGAACACAGGTATGTGTGTTAGCGACTAGCATGGGGACATCGTGTCGGATTTCTCATGTTCTGAAGAAGAGGATTCGCAGCAGTACTATATTCTGAAGCGAACCAAATTCGAAAATGTTTTATTGGTATTTCATTTCATGACCAGGAGCAAGAGATAACCAATTATAGCTTATTTGGCTAGTCCTTTAATATTTCAAAAATTCATAGATACTTTTAAATTTCATGTATCTACTCAAAACAAAAAAGATAACAAGTCTTGAAACTAATGAGATCAATAGCTGACAAACAAGTATCTAAAAGAATCTAGGTTAGTATATGTTTCGGTCCATGTCCAATTCTGAGCACCCAAAGAAAGATTCCATGTAATTTAGGTAGTTTATAATAGTGGAACCCTTTTGGAAATATTCAATGGCCATAAAAGACATATTATTTGATTGCAACATATGAATGAATGAGAGGAGGCATCCCAATAAGAAGTCTATGCTAGCACGGGATGTGTGCGTCGTATGTGTTTTGATTAGACGATTTAGAAATTTCTATTTCTCGTGCTTACATAATTATCCGATACATTCATAAATTCCATAAATAAGAAAAGTTTTAGCAATTATTATTGTTAATTTAGAAATTTTACACAATATTATTTGATGCAAAATATGGTACATTTTCTACTAGGGATTGTATAATGTGAGACCATTTACTTATAGGATATAGAGGTCACAATTAAACCTACGTACCAAATATGAAATTCAATTGCTTGAGGTATGTCATAAATTTTGAAGAATTTTCTTTTGAAATTTGAATCAAGTCAATGGCAAATTATAAGTCGTGCGACTTGACATACAATGGGTGATGGTAACTATGATCTCTTTGTACTTAAAGTAAATGGTTTTATCTTATACTCTCCTTTCTTAATAGCATGATAAAGTGAAATCCTCTAATGTGCAGAATCAATGCACTCAAATTCTCCATACCCTTTTTTCAAAATAGTGTACGTTGGATAAATAGTCTTCAGATGTTCACTAGAAGAGTTTGAATTAGGTTCTTTAAATTTTGCGACACAAATATCACTTACTTTTTATCTTTTTTAAAAAAGAAAGGGTTTATCACAGTAGGAATACTCATTAACTTTGTTTTTCCCGTGCCAATGTTATCCATGTTGTATTTTGAGCCTCTAGTTGTCGGTTGTTTCCAAATTAGCAATTTGCAGGAACACATCACCTCCAGGCAACTAATTTATACATATTTGCAACTTTTTATACTGTAAAGTAAAGAACACTTACTTTCGAATGAAGTGAATAGATTTAGTAGTGATGTTTTCATGTCAGATAATCACTTGAAGGACAACTCAATTAGTATTTTTCAAGAAAGATGGATTCTGAGTTTCAAAAAGTTAGATTTGATTGCCCCAAATTTTCTAAGAAATACTCGTATGGTGATTTATAGGAAAATTATTAATATTCAAATACTATTAGACAATCATATCTATCTAATGGACTTTGAGTGCCTGCCTGCTTAGACAGTCACCTCCAATTTCTTTAACATTGGACGAAATAAAATAAAATACAACAGAAAAAAGTAGTTCCTACCTTTTAATAAAGTGCAGTTGCAGCCTTTGAAAAAAAGTTCCCTTTCTTACTAGAAGCAAAGAAATCAGGGGAGTTATTGGAAAGCATGGTGATATATATTTCCTTTGTGTATTCTTAATTCATGTCTCACTGCCCACAGGACATCATCAGTAATAAAGCTCTGATGAAGATATATTCATATGATTCTTGTGATTCTTATCATCAATATGTGAGTTGCTATTTTGGAAAATTCAAAAAAATCTTAGGGCGTGTTTGACAACTAAAACTTTGGAGGCTGGAAGTCCCAAGTTCCAGAGCCCACGGTTTAAGTACCTACTTGCGTTACACTCTCTAGTCAGGGCGAAGTAAAAGTGCCCAATCCTCAAAAATGGTGTTTGCTCTCTTCCATCTACCCCCCAAGGGTGGGGTGCTTTCGGGAGTTCGCCTCTCTCATTTTATTTCTTAGGGAAATTATCTAAAATATCCTATTATTTAAAAATAAAAAAATAAAAAAACCTATTTTTTAATTACATTCATACCTTTTTTTCATTATTTTTTTTAAACGTCGAATACCCTTCGCAGATGTAATAGTGCTATGAAAGGTCATCACAGTCCAGCTAGGACTATGATGCTTAAAATTCATCGAGTATTTTTAATACATTTCATGGAATTTCAAGAATTTACCATGGGCATCACAATCCTGTTAGGATTTTGATGCATCAAAGATGATGGGCATCATGGCCTAATAAGACAGTGATGCTTATTACACCTCCTAGAATTACATGAAGTCAAGAGCATCACGGTCTTGTAAAATTACATGAAGTCAAGAGCATTGTAGAACCATGATGCATCAAAGAACATGGGGCATCACAGTCCTAACAGGACAACAATGCTTAATTCCTGAAATTCCAAGAAGTTATATGATAAGGCATCACAGTTCTAGAACCATGATGAAGATGAGGCATCACTGTCCTAAAAGGATCGTGATTCCTAATATGCTTCCTAAAATTCCAGGAAGTCAAGAGCATTACTGTCCTATTAAAACCATGATGCCCTACCATCTTTTGATACATCAAGGTCCTAACAGGACCATGATGCATAATACACTTGAGCATTATAAGGATCACTGCCGTGGAAGGACTGTGATGACCTTTCACAATACTACTAGATCTGTGAATGATATTTTTGGTAAACAAAAATTTACCAAAAATAGGTATGAATGTAGTTTTCAAAAAAATTAAGGTTTTTTCGAATTTATTGCAAAAAAAGAAGAAGAGATTGTCTAAAGTAGACCATTTATCTTTTGTACATGAAAGTCACAACCATTCCCACTCATTAAGTGTCAAATTGAAGGCTTACGGCGAGACATGAATTCTGATAAATTTTTTTTGAAACTTTGTATCTACTCAATAAAATTCTTACAACTACCCATTTTGAAATTTAAGGAAGAAAAATGATTGTGATCTCCATGTGTAATGCAGTTCGGATAAGGCCGAGGTTCTAAACAATCAAAGTAAATCACACCTTCAAATAGTATAGAGAAATATGGTTTCAATATTGGAAAACTTTGTGATAGCCTTAAAATCTATTTTCATCTCTAATTATAAAATTAAAAGCTTCAAAAATAGTGTAGAATGAGCAAATATATGAAAATATGAAAATTGGCGGTAAAAAAATGCATCACAAGATGCACTATTTTCATAACTTGAAATTCATTTTTTCCTCATGTCTATGCATCTTGAAGTCAAAATGATCAATTTGAGGATTTTTGTGCATCAAAACAATCTCTTCTAGTGAAATTTTGATGTGCATCTTAATTTGATTGTTTAGAACCTTGCCCTAATATAAATTTCTAAAAATTGTTTCATGCAGGCTGAACTGCATTTCGACAATATATAGTCCCAAAGTATAAAGCATCCATCTTAAAGATGGATGCAAATAGGTGGTCCATTCAAAGATAATTGAAGCTAACCATTTTCACAAAATCATTATTTTTATTTTTTAAAATTTATTTATTTATTTATGTTATATTCATGATGCCTATGTTAGAGATTACATGTCCTTGAAACTTGGGTCCGAAAATTTATCTCAAAATATATATTTTCAATAGTCAACTCATTTGTACATGGCTGATAGAAACCGTGTCCTAAACTTTTTCTAAAGATAAATGGTTTCCCATTCCAAAAACAAATTAGGCTTTTTTCGAATGTTTTTGAAAATAGAAGGGTATTTTTGATAATTTACTTTTTCCTCCTCCCGTAAAAATGTCCATGCCCCCACCCCACCCAAACCCTAACCCCTCACGCCTCTCTCCATCTCTCCTCCCCCCCCGCCCCCCTTCCTCCTACCGACGCTCCTTACCTTCCCTCTCTACGTACGTCTCTCCTCTCTCTCTCTCTCTCTCTCTCTCTCTCTCTCTCTTGCATCTCTCTCTTCCTCTATTTTACAGAGATCGCCTTTATCTGTCTTATTACCACCCCAAGCAAGCAGCTGGTCACCGGATATACAGGTGCGCCATTTGCTTCTTCTTCTTCTTCTCAATCTCTTTCTTTTCTTGCTTTTTTTATGCTTTATATTTTTTGGTTTATTTAGTTTTTTTTCAGCATTTTTGTCCTTTGATTATTATTTGGTGCCTTTTCCTTACTGTTAAGTATCAGTTGTGTGAATGGGTTTCATAGAAATGTGATTTTTAGTTGGTTTTCGTTGTTATTCTTTGGATTAAATGTTTTTTATTTTTTCCCACTACTGTTTCTTATATTGGCAAAACTGTAGAAAGATAACTCGTTTTTTATTTGCAAGATCTCAGTATGATTTAACAAAGAAAAGTTCAAGTGAGATGTAGCAGTTATCATTGGAAAACTGTTGGTGCTTGTGGATGGTTTATATTGTAGATAATGATAAAATTCATGGAGTTGTATTGCTATTGATTTGAAATTTGATTTTGAGGGTTCATCGATATTGATTTTATCTTTCAAAACTATAACCTAGATTGCTAACAAAAGGAGCTCTCCAGTCACTAGCTTAAAGGGTCAACACCCGGTGTGTTTTTCTTCTACCTTTATTTTATAGACAAATTTGGCATACCTCAGATATGAAATGCGCTGTTTCCTTGGAAGTTCTTATGTTGTCTGATTGGTCACTACAAGATAACTGCATAACCATACAAAAAAAAAAACAAATCTTTTCAAATTTGACAGAATAATTATGATCTGTTAGAGAAAGCACTAAAACGTTACAATTCAAGCAATAATTATAGTAAATAATGGACGTAATGTTCAACCTTGTTAGATTTTTTTCAAGAAAACAATGAACCCTGTTACTCAGAGCTCGAAAAAGAAAATATACAACATCAGAAAAGGACAACAAATCACAGGTGAACATAATCTGGCAATATTGCTTCTTCAGAGGGAACGCAGCAGTATTGTGCTGGATCTCATATTAGACAAAAAGAGTTTACTTTGACCATATATATATATATATATATATATATATATATATATATTAATTGTGCTTTTGGTTGTGAGATAAATTATGAGATGGAAGAACTTGAGATACAAAATTTTTCTAAAAGCTGCAACTTCACATCACCTTCCTCCTACACATGGTACTTATCAATACATCGCATGCTATAAACATTTTCTACATCTTGTTCTAAAGACTATATGCAGAACCAATGTTCATATCCAAGAATTGATTCAGATTAGCAAATCACAAGATTTACTTTGTCTACCACTTTGAGTTACCCAAGCCATTTCACAAGCCCAACATTTGGTACCAGTTGCATGAGGGAAACTCACCAGGAGAGAAGAAAAGGACCAATACTATTGCTGCAGCCAAGGGAAATTACAGTCATGATGGGGCTATTGGAACTACTTGATAATAAATGAAATTCAATAACAAAGTTTTGGTTATTAATCAACAAAAAGGGAAGATAAATATTACATTGGTGATGCATTCACCATGTCGCAATGCCTACCATGGACAATTTAAAGTAAGCAAAATTAGATAGAACTGCAAACACCATAACACTGAGTGTATTTGATTCATGTTTGTAGTTCATTCCATCTCTTGCAATGATCTGCTACCAACTCAAAGTAATGAGGAGCATGTTGAAGGAGTACAGTTGCAAGATGAAATTGCATCGCAATTGTGGCACAACCATGTGAATGGTTATCTATATATATATATAAGAAGCATATGTAAAGACAACTATCTCCTTATTTTTGCAATATTAAGAGAACCACACTGTTACAATATGCTGGAAATTAATATCTATATTAACCAGTGGTTTAAAAAAAAGGATTGGTGCCCTGGATCGGGCACTCCAAAAACCCATCCGGATCAGTGAATCTGCGATTCGGATCAAGAATCGGCTGGATTAAGCTTTAAAAAAAAATCCAAAAAAATTATTAAATTTCATTGTAAATGTTGTTTTTTAGGAATCCAGTAAAAAATGGGGGTACTGCATTATTAACTTTCATTTTTTTCATCAATTTGCGAATATTGAAATGTTATTTCCTTATATGAACTTATCTTAGCCATTAAATTACATCATACAAAAGAAAAATCATAGAATTATCATGGATAAAGTATATAATCATTCATGAACTACAATAAATAATTAATTAAATCGATGAAAAAATGGCCACTAAAATCTCGAATTGGCAGAAAACGTTGATCTGCTAAAAAAAATCCAAATTATTACAACCGAACTAACTATAATCCAAAATTATTGTAATTGAACTAACTATAATACTATATGTTAAAATTGAAATTGTTGGTTTATATTTTATAATTATTTTATTATACAAATAATAAGAAATCCAAAAAAATAATAAGATGTTGTGCTACATTTTTTTTTTGCTTGTTGTATTACCTTTCATTTTTTTTTTTTTGACAACAAAAATCAGAGAATGATGCTACCAAGTTTACCTTTTAATTTTTTTATACTTTTTATTTTATGCTTTCATTTTTTTTTGACAACAAAAATAAGAAAATGATGCTACCAAGGTACCTTTTAAATTTTTTGTACTCTTTTATTTTATTTTTTGAAATAAATACTTGCTATATTACATTTAATACTTGTTATATTGCCTTTTGTTTTATTGACAAGAAAATAAAAAAAATATTGTATTACCATTTTTTGTTTGAAAAAGATTTTATTTAATATTTTTTTCCTTTTACTTTATTTTCTTCCTTTTAGACTTTTTTTTTTTTGAAAGATCTTTTATTTTTTATTTTTTTCCTTTTACTTTATTTTCTTCCTTTTAGGCAAAAAAAATAAGTTGGATGGCGCCTAAGGGGCTCAAAGTTGAGACGTCCAAGAAGAAATTGTGAGTCATAACCAACTGCACCATGTAATAATAGTGTACTTTGAATAGCCATCTAAACATTATAATGATTTTGTGTGCACAATGTGTGGGAATTATCCCACATCGAAGCTTTAATATAAGTCTGCATGGTATAAATGCTTCTGCTAGGCCATCAATAAATTAGTCAGTTATTTAGCGGGATTGAGACCCATGCACTGCATGTGCTTGACATGTGGCATCAAAAATGCCCCTCAATTTGAAATTTTTTTGGACTTGACCTTAGACCGTTGAAATTGCTCGTGTCATTGTAGCACTCATCGAGTTATCGCTGTGAATCACCCGGTTCTCTCTAGACACGGGCAATTTTGCGTAATATGGTGGAATCGGCTCGGGGGTGCCGATTTTCGTGTCGAACCGGGTGAGTCCGGTTCGACTCAGCGAGTTTTCAAACACTGCATGAGAGTATCTTGTAAAACATGATAAAACATTAGCCCCACTGCTCTCAGGTATGGACTCCACTTCCTCCTCGATAAAGTCTAAACAAATCCAACTCGATGTGTATAACCTCAACTTACAAATTGAATTTGAAACTAGCAAATGTGTTTCCTTGTATTTCTCAAAAAAGAAAACAAATATGTTTCCTTTATAAAGAGCTTTGATAGAAGAGGTTTTTTTTGAAAGAATTATTTAGGAAATAGAATTATTAGTACAAAGTGAATGAAAGTGCTATAAAATGGTTAAGGCTCTTTATTGTATTTTATTACTTTTTTTTTCTTCTCTTGGGGGGGTGGGGGGTCTATACCATTTTTCTTGATCTATTGTAGATGACTTAATACATTCTCATGCAATAAACTAGTATTGCCCCCTACCCCCAATACAAATTGTTTGATGTATGAATTAAGGCAGTTAATTACTAGGTCTCCAGGTGTCATAAATTTCAAGTGGCACCAAGCACAGGTTTCTAGGCTCCCTCTGAATTCCATGCAGGTTACAAATCACAGTTTTTCTAGTACAACGAGCTAGATTATACTGCTTTGCAAGGAGTAGGAACTTCCAGGTTCTTGATAGCATGCTTGTAGTTGTCAAACAGGCCCTTGGATATGTGGGCTAATTTAGAGCTACAAATATTCACCAATAAGAAATAGTGGTAAAAAACTTGTCTCGGGCTCAGAACTCAGCATTTTCCTAAACCCTACTGGACGTGCTGGAGTAATATATAAGCCTAAAAAGGATCTAAAACTGTGAAGGAAATTACAAGAAAGTTTCTTAAAAAAATAAAAAGCAAAAAATTCATGAACAATTTTAAAAGTCTACAAAAGATGGGAAAAGGTATATAAGTTGATTAATATCTTGAAAAATTCTGAAAAATCCTAAAAAAAGGGAAAAATTGAACAATTGAGCATAAAGTAAGAAAAATTCACACATAGAAACAAAAAAGTTATATGGAAAGATAGTTATACATCATATGTTATTGTTTTAGTGACAAATTATGTAATGTCATGTAAGTTTTATATGTACCCACTTCTGTGCATTATAGTTCTTTGGCAGGGTGCCAAGGCTGACTAACTTGGCTGACTTTCAAACACTGATAAGAAGCTTAAGTTGGAATTTTTCATGCGCTTTGTGCTAGATTACTCTTTAGGGAAAATTACAAAAACCACGCAAGACTCAACTTTCTTTACATTCTCCCCCAGCCATTTTTTTTATCACAACTTTTACCTCAAAACTAACTTTTATAGCAAAGCTCCCCAAAGTCAAAAAGCAATAGTTTGAAGGACAAAATTACCTTGGAACCCATACCAAAAGTTGTCGGACCACCTTTATAAAACAATATACCAAGTGGCGGACCACGACACCCTTGTGTTGGACCGAGGGCCACTACTGCCAGACCACCTGGTCTAAGTGGTAGACCACATTTACAGTATGCCAGACCACTTGGTTTATGTGCCTGACCGTTCATTCAAAAAGTGCCTTCCTGCCACAGTGAGCTGCTGGACCACCACAATTCAGTGCTAGAACGCCACCGTAAATTATCGGACCGGCTTTTGTGAGTGAGCGTCTGCGAAAATATGATGGCTTCATGTACGGGCAGGGGTATTTTTGTCTCCAAACTATTACTTGTTGATTTGGAGGGTCTTTTCTATAGAAGTTAGTTTTGGGGTAAAAGTTGCGATAGAAAAACTAGGTGGGGGAGAATGTAAAGAAAGTTTAGTCTTGGGGTGTTTTTGTAATTTTCCTTACTTTTTACCCTGAAATTGTTGTTTAGGTGGTGAAATGTTTGAATCTTATGTATTGTTGAGTTAGGAGTGGCAATAGAATTGCTTATTTTAGGCAGCTAATAATAACATTTATGCAATAGAATTGCTTATTTTAGGCAGCTACTAATAGCATTTATGATGGGCTTTAAGAAAGTTCATGTGGTTGTTAAAAGTTCTTGTTTTCTAGCCATTTTGGATGGGTAGTGGAAGTTGCTGAGCCAAAATATCATTTTAATGTCTATCTGATATGGACAAGATTAAAGAACTTCCATAGTAGTGGGTTAATGATGAGATAACTGAACAATTGACTTATCAACAAAAGAAAAAAACGTTAAAGACAGAGTTAACTGAGCAAATGGATGAGGAATAACATGTAAGGGAACATTGAAAGTTATGGGAACTGTTCGTTCAATGAAATGGACTTCCATAGTTATCTTCATTTTGAATGGGAAAATGGGTTTATGATGGTCTATGTATGATAGACTATAGTATAAAAGGTGCTCAGTAAGGGATCCCAGATAATTTTTTTTTTTTTTTTTTAACTTTCGATGTTTCATCCTATGTATGAGCAAAATAAATTTGCCTTAAATAGGTGGTCTTCCTCATGATGAATGTCTGTAGTATGAAAATCTCATTAAATGGTTCTTTTCTGATGTTATGGTTTGTTTCTGATGTTCTTGATCATTGTTGTTTTCTTTACTTAGTTGAAGAGCCATCAAAATGTTCACTGCTTATAGGAAAATTCAGAAAGACAAGGGTCTTGAACCTTCTGAGTTCGAGGAAACAGTTGCTCAGGTCAACAAATATCTAAAGCCATTCAGTAATCAATTCTGCTAGGTCCTTTCCCTTAATTTAATTTTACTATGTTGCATTCTCTCAACTAAGTTTGGCTTTGGCAGGCATTCTTTGATTTGGAAAACAGCAATCAAGAGCTAAAGAGTGACCTAAAGGATCTCTTCATTAATTCTGCAACGTAAGGGAATTTTACTGCTGTCCATATTGTACTTGACAAAAATTATTCTCTAGCATATGTCCAGTGGAATTGTAGTTCATTTGCATTCCCATCATATATGAAATGATGAGTGGAGATGGGGAGATAGTGGTAGACCTTTGATGGTCTTCCTGTTCAGGGTGCTCCTCTTTTCATTTGGATGCTTTTTACACGTGACCGTGTGGAACAATAGTTGATGGGATCGGGTGGGACTGGGACTGGGACTGGGACTGGGATCGGGATCGGGAGTGGGGGGATTGTGAAAGGCCAGAAGATCCCTGTGGTTGGGGGCATCCATACGATGCATATTTTAGAGATCGCGATCTCCAAATGTTGGGGATCTTGACCCGAACTTTTGGGGATCTTGTTCCCCACTTTTAAGTGTATACATAGTTTAGGACTATATATACTCTTTGAATTGAAATTTCTTTATTTATAGGTAACAAGCAATGCAAGAATAGCAATGCAACTATATTAAAAGTATAGTTGCATTACGAATCAGTTATAAATAAAGAAATCATTATTTTGGTTATTATCATGGTTTTCAAGGTGGCGATCCAGATCCCTAACAGCGGGGAGCGAGATCTCTAATTTTAACAATTGAGATCCCTTCTAGATACCTTTTTGGAGCTCCAAAGTGGGATCGCCACCTAGGTTGGGAGATCCCAGCAACTATATGTGGTTCTTTGGTTCTTCATAGTCTTTCAAGATTTAATGATACCTTCCTTGAAGCTCGAGAATCTCAGTCTTGAATCCTTATTCTTGTTTAATATCTTTTTGCTGTTGCAGTCAAGTTGATGTATCTGGGAATCGGAAGGCCGTGGTGATCCATGTGCCCTACAGATTGAGGAAGGCTTTCCGCAAGATACATGTGAGGCTCGTTAGAGAGCTGGAAAAGAAGTTCAGTGGGAAGGTACGATATTCCAGAACTTTCTTGTAACAGTGTCTATTGAGTTTCTTTTTCTTATATTTTTCACAGTTCTAGCATAAAATTAAAAAATATGCTAAATTCAGTGACTTGTGTATCTGGTTTGGTGCAAGAAAAAAAGAAAACATAAAATAAAATAAAAAAATTTTACTGGGTCATTTTATGTTATGTTGCTACTTAATTCTGTTCTCTTATTCTTGTGTACTTACTGATGACCTGCCTAATTCATTGCCTAGATAACTTTCTTCTCTTGTGATCAGAGACCTTTCCCCCAACCCCGTGCATTGCAATAGAAAGTGTAATAGTTGCCTTGTTTATGGTGTCCTCAAGTTGTCCAATGGATAAATGTAAGGAAACAGTACACTTAATATATCTGAAATGGATGCACAGTTGCTGTTACTAAATTTGGGTGTATAAACTGTTCCCCTAAATCCTGGTGACCAATTAAAATGAGAAAATGGATGATATTACTGAAAATTGGCTGTAAAAACTTGTCCCCTCACTTACAGTTCAAGGTGGAACACATCCCATCCTTCTTAATGGGCACTCTTTACCTAGTTTTCATGAAAAACAACTACGCCCTTTGTTTTTGTCTTTTGATCATTTTATGCAAAATAAAAAAAGAACCTCGGTTCTACTGTACAATACGAAGGTATCTCGAGCCGTTATCATCCCCCTAATTTGCCATGCCAAGTCATTATGTTTATGCCTGGACTGGACATTTCATCTATGTTATGTTTTCTTGCTGAAAAAATGTCCTGTGAAAAAAATAAATCTAGAAGAAATTTGACTTTTACCATCTCTTCAAAAGGACAAAATATCTCTGATTTCAAGATTAAATGTCAGGTTATCTCAAGTATTATTTTATTTAGAAATACATTAGTAACATATAAGTCCCTTTTGCTGATTTCTTCACGTGATTATCATGCTTTGATCCTTGTTGAAATTCAGGATGTTATTGTGATTGCAACAAGGAGGATCATGAGGCCACCCAAGAAGGGTTCTGCAGTCCAAAGGCCTCGCAGTCGCACATTGACTGCTGTGCATGATGCCATGTTGGAGGATGTTGTTTATCCGGCAGAGATTGTCGGAAAACGCATCAGGTATCGACTTGATGGATCCAAGATCATGAAGGTGAGGACAACTTTTTGTAGTCAGTCTTTTCACTACTTGTTTTTATTCTATTTGCATATTTTAATGAATAAGTGATATGGCTATAGGCATATTGCGCTCTCTTTCATGCTTCATTATAAATATTCACTCCTTGCTGTTTCTAAAGCTTAAGAGCAGCAGCTATCTCTAGATTTCTTTTTTGAGCCTCTAAATCTCTAATCAAATTTTGTAGAAGTTTGAAATATATGGCCTCTGACCCAAGAAGGGTTCTGCAAATGATCTTAAGGAATATACTTTGCAGTCTATGTTATCTCATGCCATTGTTTCTGCAACTAGATTCATGTACCTGTGAACTGCGCATGGCGTTGCTTCAGTTTGGATCACTCCCAAAGCAAATTGGGTTTGATTGCAGCCTATTTTGAAAATTGGAGCAAGAGTGGGTTTCACTAGAAAAATCTGGGCTGAGATGATATTAGTTTTACAGTAATGATCTTGCTCCCACCAAATGATTAGTCATGCAGAGTTATCTGGGCTGGTATTAGTCAACAGCACTGGATGTAAATATATAGTTCCTAATATCCACGCCCTCGCCTGCACCTCGCCTCCCCCCTCAAAAACAAAAAAACCTGTAGCTTTGGGTCCCTAGATGTTGCATCTCTGCCATATGCACAGCCGATTAGGTTTTTGCACTATGATCACATTTGCTCAAGAATGTCTTTTCCTGATTCATTAGAGTTCCTGAAAATTCCCTTGTTATTGATCTTCGATATTATATCTGAATAAATGGGTTTGATGGTGTAGGTTTATCTGGACCCTAAGGAGAGAAACAACACAGAGTACAAGCTTGAGACATTCAGCGGAGTTTACCGGAAGCTTTCCGGAAAGGATGTTGTCTTTGAGTATCCTGTGACTGAGTCAGCTTAAATGGTGTTTGGCAGCAATGCGTTCCCTTATTTAATTTTCATTCTTCTGTTTTGGCACAAAACTGAATTGTTATGGAGAGTTGAATTTTGGGGTTGAGACGCTTAGGAATTTTGTAAGTGTTTTTTTTACTCATGAATAGGTAAAATCATAGCTGTTTTCACTTGCTGCGTATGTTTAATGCAATCTGACGGGTTGGGGTCACGGTACAATTGGTAATACTTAAATATCTTTTATGCAAATTGTGCTGCTTGCTAGATGTACCAGCGAAGGACACCTGTTACGAAGCACGTATTTTGAGCTATCGATTTCGATGTTCTTATTTAGATTCGTGCGCAATAAATTATTTGATTGAAAAATTTTAGCTAGAACTCAAAAATTTTTCCCAAGGTCTATTTGATAAAAAAACGTCTTTTATGTTTTATAAAAACATAATCAATGAAGTCATCGAATCGAATATGTATGGATGAATAAGAAAGTCAAATTTTACATTTGTTCAAATCAATGGTTTAAAACGGGGATCGGTGATCCGGATCAGGCACTTCAAAAATCGATCCAAATTGGTGAATCAACGATCCAGATCGAGAATCGGGTGAATCGGTTAGATTAAAGCTTCAAAAAAAATTGAAAAATTATTAACATTTATTATAAATAATATTTTTTAGGAATTCAATAAAAAATGAGGGTATTTTATTAAGAATTTTCATTTTTTTGTATGAATATGTGAATATTGCTATGTTTTTTCCCTGTATGAACTATTATTTACCATTTAATTTACGTCATATAAAAAGATAAATATAGAATTATCATGGAATAAACATATCAATATACATGGACTGCAATAAAGCATACAACTAATAACATATTATTTAAAAAAAAAAACGACAGACGACGTCGTTCTTCTTTTTTGTCACGTTGGTGCCATTGATTGAATTCGTTTGATAATTCATTGATTCGATCTAAAAACGAATCATCGATATTAGCAGGCGTCTAATTATATCCAAATTTTTGAGTGTTAGTGTTATGTCGTGTTCTTAATCCAAAATCCTTGAAGCTTGTTCATCCTTCATGTTCACTTACACTGTCGTGCTCATCCTTACTTTGTTGCTGTTGGAATTCGATATGTGAATAATATGGCTGGGATAGGGTGGCTTCGGAATCATTATCTCTCTCATTTTCCCTTAGACTTCCTTCCCACTCTCCCTCATTAGGTGCAATATCACCGACATTTCCGACGATTTGTGGATACGTTGGCTGACTGCTTCTTATTTCATGTTGCTCATCACTTTCTTCAAGATCTTCTTCACCGATAGCCTCAAGGAACGCTCTCTTGTGCAACACTGGCTTCTCCTCTTTTACTACCCATTGCTTTGTTGTGTCTGTGACAAATATTGTGTCCAAATCTATCGGCCCATAGTCTTCAAGCTTTCTTCTTATTTGTCGCTCTCGGAGGTTTAAGTTGTAATGAACGTAGACTAGTTTATGAAGTTTCTCCGAAGCGAGTCGATTTCTCCTATTAGTGTGCAACCATTGAAACGTATTCCAGTTGCACTCACAGTAAGTAGCAAAACATGTCTGGGAGAGCACCTTGATTGCTATCCTCTTTAAGTGACGTACATCAGTACCATATATCTCCCACCATTCAGCTATATTAAAATGCAAAAAGCATTGTAAGGGCAAGAACAATTCACAAGATTAAATATATGAATGATCAAATATATGAATGATCAAAATATTAGCTGGGGGATAACCTGGATCTATCTTAATTCGATAGTTCCTGGCAAGTCTAGTTTCGAAGGATCCTATAGCATCCCTATACATAGCAAACTAAAACAAATATATTTCGTTTTAGTGCATTATTCCTCACAAATATAACAACTCAATAAAGTTCTTACCCAAACATTAAATTTTGGGTTCTTAAGAACTCAATAAAGTTCTTACCTCTTATATTGCTGCTACTTGGTTTCGCTGGCTTCTTTCCAACCTTGCAATAATGTATCTGAACCCTTCCATAATCTTGTAGGGACGTTCAGGTGTCAAATAGAAAAATTTTGGGTTGAAGTAGTAACCTATAAAATATATAGATAGAAAAATATCATTTACAATTTCATAAAAAAATGATTTAAAATGAAATATTATAATGATATAAACATATATTTACCAGCATAATGAATTAGACGTCCAAATTTGGTGTTCCACGTCCATTCTATAATCTCAATCACTTTATCAACAAAACTACACTTCTCCTCAATAGCTGATTTCGCTCTTTCGATTCCTTCATAAAGGATGCCCATGGTAGCTTTCTCGTCAGCATCCACCATTCTTAACACCGTGACCAAAGGGGCAGTGGCTTCTACGACACTGGAACATCGAGACTAGAACCTCCTATTTGAGACTATGCCGTCCACTTTTATACCGATACTAGACTTCGAGAGGCAGTGATTTAACCACTCTTCACAGGTAAACAATATCTTTAAGGCACCTTCAGATTCCCGAATGGAGTCCACAGCTAAGTAATCGGTCGCAAA